TTTCCCTTAATAATAAAAACCTTAATTTAAAAACTGCATGTTGTGTTTACTTGTGTTATCTTTGACTAATATTTAAATTTGTTTGATGATCTGAAACATTAAAGTGTGACAAACATGCAAAAAAATAAGAAATCAGGAATTTCTTGAGCATTGAGTCAGCATATTAAAATGATTTCTGAAGGATCGTTTGACACTAAATACAGCCTTGGTGAGCATAAGATAAACAATAAAAACAATTAAAGAAATCTTATCACCTATCATATCACCTCCAAACCTTTGAGTAATAGTGTAAGCAAGTTAAAATAGTTCAAAATTTGAGTTTAGTTATTTTGGATATAGTATAATATCCAAAAGTTGAGTATAATGGATATTACAGAAATGCCCATAGCCAAAACAATACAAGTTTTTTTTTATATGTCATGTTGATGCAGAGAGTGTACATTTTGTTCAAGGGCAGGTCATTAACACAACTGTCTAATCATTCAAAATGAACCATCACAGAGGCATTTGTTCCTCAAGTTTAATGAGCCTAAATCCAGTGTAAGTGCAGAATAAGTTTCCATTGCGCTGTTCTCTTGAGGGAATTTTCTTTGCTCAATTTGACTCTCATTTCCCTAATCTGCTTCCTCAAAAGCCACATTGATATTCATGAGATATATTTGTGTCATCTAATTTTACGACAGTGAAGTACTGTAGGACTGCTCTGCCTCTTGTGGCATTGTAAGAGAAAGACTTTATATATCACTCATGCAACTCTGTGCAAACAAACATAGCAGAAATGTCATTTGTTAGTAGCAATCTGTTTCTGTTTGTTGTGGCCAAACCATTAAATTTGTACTCCACACAAAATTGGAGCACTTAATCTGTTTTTTTGCTCTCCACTTTTTTTCTGCGATTAGTCATCAGAGGTTCAAACTCGCTGATCCCTGTGAATGTGGGTGTAATTCGTATCTGTTCTCTAGAGCAAGTATTGTATCCATTACTTCAGGAATTGTGTAAGACAGCTTTTCCATCAAAATTATGTGGTTGTGCAGCACCACTTATTTGTCATATGACAACAACAAAAGAAGGTTGGTGCTTATTATAGGACTTTAAAATGATTCAGTGCTTTAGCTTGACTGCTTTGAAGAAGAATCTTTTCTGTGTTTCGTATTTTAACCATGAAAAAATATCTTTAAATGTTTTGTTTGACTTAGCAAGATATATACGGTAAATATGGTCACACCTCTTGGTCAAATATTGCAATATAATGACTTCAGCTAAGTTATAAATAGAAAGAAGGCTGTTCCGGTTTGTTCAGTCTTTCAAAGTTGCCCAACCTCCCCTGCGATACTCGACATACTGTCCTTTATCTCATTATGATTCTGCCAGCAGGCTCTGATTAGTGACTGTGGTGGTAACGGACTGATTAGGTACAAAATGAGTGTAATTCAGCTTTCACCAGGGAGTGGAATAAAGTGGAGGAACATCCTTCCCTTACCCTTGAGTTTTCTCACAAATGACCAAAATCATAACTTAATCTGCATTCTTTATAGGGTTGGTGTGCCTAAAAATTTAAATTATCATAATTTAGTCACCCTCAAATTCCTACAGGTTTGGAATGACATGATGATGCAATTTTCATCATTCCTTTAAAAACGTTTTTAATAATTTTATGCCACTTTTGACATTTTCATTTCCATAATTCTCATGTAACTTGCAGTTGCATCTACATCCTTATTGCTTTATGCAAATAACAATAGAAACAGATTCATTAGCAGATGAGTTTCCTCCTTCATAATAGCAGGTGCTTGCAAAGGGTAGTTTTTAGTGTTTAATCAGTGAGTTTGAGTAAGGAAATCCTTATGCGATTCATAGAAACCACATTCTGGCGGTTAAGCATTCTTTGGCACGTACAGTAAGACAGGTGTAGACAGCTGAGACAGTATTCCATAAGGTATGAATTTGCATTCAGCAGCAAGATTGCTGTTATCTGTTGACTTGCTCTGATCTGTTATTGTGCATGTCAAATTCTCCAGCGGGCCTATCTCTTAAGCTGTCAATGTAGAGAAAACTACATCTGTCAGATAACTTCAAATCTGTTTGCCAAGAGGCTTTATCATTTTTTGTGCATATTACTGTCACACAGATGGGTAATATTATTTAGTCTAATCTCACAGCTGATTGGAGATTAATCTGTCAGAAACTCTCAATAACATCTTTGAATTTGGATGGCATCATCCAAGCCTTGTCACTGTGGAGGTGAATTTGTAGCTAAGCCCAGCATCAGGGCAGTGCTTATCACTGGGGCCCTTTTTTCTTTTTTTAGAATGTACCTGAAACTCACATTGGTTTGAAGACACACTATGACCAAAAGTGTAGTAGTTATCTCGTAATATAAAGTAAAAATAATCTCCTTCAGATGAAAATGATGTGGAGCTCCCTCAGAAAAGGTAACAATTTCCCCTTTAAGGTGATTGAATATTTGCAAGCACAGCCATATTAGCTTTGCATTGATTTCTGGTTTCGGTAAAGAGTCTGTATTTTAAACATAATGCAGAAAATTGTATGTACAGGTAATAAAAACCTGTATTTACAGGTAATTAAAAAAATAAGAGTGCATGCAGATAAAATATTTATGATCTAATGTTTATAGTTAATATATTTAATATTTAACACAAAGGTTAAAGGGGTCATATGATGTTGCTAAAAATAACATTATTTTGTGTATTTGGTGTAATGAAATGTGTTTATGCGGTTTAAGGTTAAAAAAACACATTTTCCACATACTGTACATTATTTTTTCTCCTCTATGCCCCGCCTTTCTGAAACGCGTAGATTTTTACAAAGCTCATCGGTCTGAAAAGCGAGGTGTGCTCTGATTGGCCAGCTATCCAGAGGTATTGGCCGAATACCTCAAGCGTGTGACGGAAATGTTACGCCCCTCACCATACTGTGATGGAGCGATGAGACAAAAACATTAAAAAAAACATTATAAACGAGGCATTTGTTGCATCCAGTGGGGACATAATTACGGATTATAATGACTTATACTGTCTTTTTACGCATTGTGTTGCATTGTGCTGCGTAAACATAAATCCATGTCTGCATTTGTGATCAGAGAAATTACAAACAACAAGCGCTACTCTACACTGCTCAAAACTCGCGTTTGAATCATCAGTGGCAAATTCTTTAAATATGAAAAGGTAATTACAGACTGTTATTAGAACAGCCGACATTGTAGTCTACTCTTCCAGGATCAGGAAACAGTCCTCCGTAAAATGTGCTGCACACACATCTGAATATTTGGGTTGAACTGTTCTGGAACAGTGTTGTAAATACAACTTAACCACTGATTTCTAGTTGTGTCCTCTTTTGGAAGGCCAAACAAAGTAGTTTCGCTTTCACAACGAAGCACACAGCGGGCTTGAGTGAGCGGAGGCCGGCGGGCTAGAGTGAGGAACGGCCAGTGGGCTTGAGAACGGCGCGGCCGGTGGGCTTGCGGCAACCAAATGTGACAACCCCGGGCTGGACTCCGCTTCGTCCATGGTGAAAGCCGATCCGGCGATCCACAGTGCAAAGTTGATGTATTTCCTCAGTGACCAGCACGGATCAGCTCCAGGCATGA